TATCAAACATTTAAGAAAGAAAAATCGATTCTACAAAAACTTCCAGAAAACTGAAGAGTAAATGCTTCTCATTTTTTATTTTGAGACCAGAATTATCTTGATATTAAAACTTCAGAAGACGATACAAGAAAATTATAGAACAATATTCATCATTAACATAGATGCAAAAATTCTTAAAATTTTACCAAATAGAATCCAACAAAATATAAAAAGGATACTAGGTCCTGACCAAGTGGGATTTATCTCAGGAATACAAGGTCAGTTTAACATACAAAAAAAAAAAAAAATCAATGAATGTAATTCACCATATTAATAATTTTTTAAATGATGATCTCAATAGTTACAGAAAAAGAAACAAAATAGAGCATCCATTCTTCATTTAAAAACAAATACAAAAAACGACTCAGGAAAGCAGGAATAGATTGGAACTTCCTAAACCTGATAAAGGGTTTCTACAAAAAATATACAACTAACATCGACATCATAATTAATGATGAAAGAAAACAAATGTTCCTCCCTAAGATCAGGAACAAAACAAGAGGTCTGCTTTCATTACTTCTATGCAACACTGAGTAGAGGTTCTGGCCAGGTATCCTTACTGAAAAGAAATAAAACTGTATTTACAGATAACATGATTACCTACATAGAAAATCTGATGACACCTACAAAAAGGCTATTAAAACTAATAAGTAGTTTAGCAAGATTACAAGATACATGATCAATATACAACTGATCATGTATCAAACAATTGGAAGTTGAAATATTAAAAGATAATTATCATTTACAACATTAAAAATATGAAATAGCTACAGATAATCTGACAAAGATATGCAAGACCTATCTACTGAAAGCTATAAAACATTGCTGAGAAAAATTAAGGAAGACCTAATTAAATTAACAGATTTACTGTGTCCATGAGTTAGAAGACTCAATATTTAAGATATCAATTCTCCCTCAAATTAATGTATAGATTCTTCGATGAAGTTCCAATTAAAATGTAAGCAAGATTTTATTTTGAAATTGATGAAATAATTGTAAAATTAATGTGGAAATATAACAGACCTAGAATAACCAAAACAACTTTTAAAAAGAACCAAGTTCAAGGACTTAGATTATATTATGTAATACGATGAATACAGTCATATTTGACTACGTGGTATTGGTGTTAAAACAGACAAAAAGATCTATGACACAAAATAAAACAACCAGAAATAGGTCCACATATATACAAGGTAAACTGATTTTGATCAAAGGTGCAAAGGAAATTCAATGGAGAAAGGATAGGCTTTTCAGCAAATGGTGCTAAAACAATTGCTACCATAAGCAAAAAAAAAAAAAAAGGAAAACAAAGGGAAAATAAAAAGAACTTTGTTCCACATCTGGTGCTACAAATTGACTTAAATTAACTTAAAATGGATCAGAAATTTAATGTAAAGCCAAAAATAAAGCTTCTTAAAAAATAGGAGAAAATATTTGAGACCTCAGGCTAGGCATGATTTCTTAGATACAACACCAAAATCATCATCCATCAAAGAATAAACTGATAGAGTAGAAATCATTAAAATTAAAAATTGGTAAATAAGACTATCAAAATTAAGAACTCTACTTTTCAAAAGACTGTTAAAAAAATGAAAAGACTCAGATGTAATAAAGAACTTGTAATGAAAATATATATTAAAAATCTCTCAAAACTCAATAAGAAAACAGCTCATTTTAAAAAAAATTAACAAAAGATTTAATAAACATTTCACCCAAGAAGATATATGAAATATATATGGGCAAATAAGCACATAAGTTTGAAATTATTAGTCATTAGGAAAATGCACATTAAAACCACATGGGATAGGACTCCACATTATTAGAATGGCTAAAATTAAAAAGTGACCACATGAAGGAATTGGGAGTTTCACACACTGCTGAGGGGAATGTAAAATGTCACAATCACTTTGAAATACAGGTGGCTATTTCTTAAAATGTTAAACATACACATACCACGTGAACTACATATTTCACTTCTAGGTATTTAACCAAGAGAAATGAAAGCATATGTCCATGTATACAATTCATACATTCATAGCCACTCTATTAGTAGTACCAAAAAGCAGCAAAAAAAAACAAATATCCATCAACAGGTAAATGGAACACTTACTCATACAATGGAACACTACTCAGCAGAAAAAGGAATGAACCATGTATGCACACACAACATGCATGAATCTCAAGATGATTAAGTAAAAGCCACCACACAAGAAAAGATACTAATGTATGACCCCACAGAAAAAAATCCTTAAAAATCTTAAATATCTATAGTAACAGAAAATGGATCACTGGTTGCTTTGGGGGAGGGGTGAAACTAGGGAGAGATTATCAAGGGGCACAAAAAATCTTTGGGGGTATTACAAATGTTCTTTATCTTGATTATGATAACGGTTTTATGAATATATACTTATGTCAAAACTTCTCAATTTGATCTCAGTAAAGCTATTTAAAAATATCTGTTCTTTTTTTCCCACGGTATCGTGACTGCCACATTCTTTCGTCATCCTCTATATTCAATCAGTAATTAATTTCTAAGCATTTTATTCTCCTATTCTCTCTCCAGTCCCCTATTACCACAACTCGGCAGTCCCCAAGTTTTTGGTACCAGGGGCCGGTGCTATGAGAATCTAATGCTTGACGATCTGAGGTGGAGCTGAGATGGTAATGCCAGTTAGCACTGGGGAGCAGCTACAAATACAGATGAAGCTTCGCTCTCCTGCCTGCTGCTTACCTCCTGCTGTGCGGCCTGGTTCCTACCTGGCTATTGACCAGTATCAGTCCGTGGCCCAGGGATTGGGGACTCCTGCCCCAACCCATCTCTCACTTGTATTATAATAGCCTCTCTCCAGTCCTCACCCTCCAGCCAGAATTAACATTCTGAAACATAAATCTAAGACTGTCACTTCAACAGTGGAGATACATTTCAAAATCCCTTAACATGACTCACCTGACCCTCCCTGGCCTGGTCCTCTCACCCTCCCCAGCCTCCTTTCTGGTGATTTTGCACCTCACCCTTTCCTCTTGGACCACACTAATCAAAAATGTGCCAGGTTTATATAGTTTTGCACATACTGTTCCCAAATCAAATAATCCCCATCCTTTTTGTCTTTCTCCAGCCGACGCATACTGAGACTTTGTAACTCAGCTTGGGTATTATCTCCTCTGAGTTTTCCCCCAAATCCCATATTAGGCCATTTGCCCCTCTCTCAACTGCCAAGTGCCTTCTGTATGCCCTGCCACAGCACTAATCTCACTATTATATAATCCCCCACATCAGACTAAATATAAGCAGCCTGGATGAAAGCTTGAAAGAAGAAACCGAGTCTTGTTCTGTTGACTTTCCCAGAGCCTACCACAGCGCCAGGCCCAGGACACACACCACGGGATTAGTGAACCAATGAATGAATGTAAGCACTGGTTTGGATGACCTCCTCTTACACTACCCGGGGTGATTCTATATTCCACCTTGTAAAAAAGATGGGCAGGTGAGAGATTAAATGATCTCTGTAGTAGATTCTGATAAAATAATTATTTCAAATCCCCTGGTGGGGGTGGGGAGGTCCCAATTCCAGCTGGGAGTTTAAGATTCATTACCTCAAACAGTTTTCAAAACCAGCTGGTAATTGACTGAGATCTGAACTAAGCGAAAGTTTAGGGATAGGGAACCAGATTCCAGGAAAAGACAAGGCCCAAAGCAAAGACTAACATAGGCTGGAAGAAAGCCCAGACTCCTCCCAGTAAACTTAATTTCATCCAGAAAGACAGATCTCCACCCTCTGGGTTATTCCCTTCCCCCAAGACATATGTTTGCTATCCAAATCCAGCCAGATCCTATCCTCTCTCCCCCTCAAAATGAATCTCCAGGCCCTTCTCACTCTCTGGTCTCTTCCCCCAATCATCCTTAATAATAGTCCTCTAGACCTCCCACTGGGAAGTCCTCTTCAGCTGGTTCCTCCAAGAGCCAGGCCAGTGGCCATCAGGTCAAGAGCCAAGCAGAGGGCCTCATTAACAGGAGACTCCCAGAAGACCAGGAGGCAGTCAGAAGGCTGGAAAACTCAGCTGGCAACTTCAAAAGTAAAAATTCAGGATATACACATGGTGGCTTATGGGAAAGTGGGGAAAAGCAAGCAAAACTCAACCATCTAAACAACAGCCACAAACTAAGAGAAGACTTGCCTTCTTTCTTACTGATTTTCAATTCAAAATCATAATCACTTCCTCCCTCTTGAATTACGATTTTAAAAACTGACCGAATGATAACAGCTCTTTCATTTCTTGGTAAAGGCTGACCCTTCAGGACAAAATTAGTTAAAACAGAATTGCTTTAGTGGAAAATGATTAGGGAAATTCACCATTCTGCATCTTGGTGATCATTTAAAAGAAGGTAAGTGAATAAAATGAAAAGATTTCCCCCAAGCCTTTCCTACCTAGGATAACCAAACAGCTTTATACCATCTAAACTAACCTGCACCTCAAATATCACAAGCTGCTGAAAGCTTTTAAAGTAACAAGCAGCACAGGCCTTAAAATGCCTTAGGTATACAGATTTGAATTCAAAGGCTCAAAATGCCTGGAAAAATGTCTTAAAATGCGGGAGAAAAGAGGGGAAGGGAAGGGAGGAAATGAATATAGTTAAGTGGACAGTGATGGCAGAAGACTTCGGGTTCCAGACATCTCATAGGCAGTAAAGGCCGTCTTGGAGAAGCAGTAAAGGGCGATCCTTTCCCTGAGTGGTTGCACGCGTCACCCAGGTGAGGACATAGGGGACTCAAAAACGTCTCGGGAGCCAAGGCCCCTCTGGAATGAGACTTTAAGCGACCGGAAGAGGAGGTGGTGACTGCTGGAAAAGGGAGGGAGGACTCGGCCGGGTGCCTCTCGTTTTGGAGAACGCGCGCGCTGAGAGCCTGTGCATCTGCAAAAGCCCCTGGTGCACACATGAGAGTGAGCGGAGGGTCACTTACTTGTCCAATCTGAAATTACTTTTTTAGCTAGCGGGGCTCTGCAGGTTGCCGCACTAAGCCACACCGCACCCAGGATGGGCGGTCCCCGCGGGCGGCTGTGGCCCCGCCCGGCCCCGCCCTCCGCCAACCGCGGCCCCTGTAAAACGCGCCCCGATTGGCCCTTTGAACCTGGCCCAGGATTGGCCCGTGCTTGCCCGACCCCGCCCCGTTGGGCTGGGCCGGCTGGTAGGTGGTGCAGAGCGTAGCCTCACTCTGGCTCCTTCTGACTTACTGAACTTTCAAAAACGAGAAGGGGGCTTTGTCCCCTCCAGCTGAGAATTTCCCACTCTGGGGCTTATTTCACAGAACTCACTCACGCAAACTCTCCGCAACCCCTCAGGGGTGTGTACGTCAAGTGTGTATACTATAACTATTTGATTATTTACTGAACACCATGACTGTTGTAAAAATAATTTTAAAAATGTTTATTGAATGATTAGTTTGTGCCAGGTCCTGTTCCTGATACTTTACGTGAATTCACTCATCTAATTCTGCGGCCAGCCCTCTGAACTGGTGTCACAGTCTTAAATCTACAAAACAGATCCGTCCCTGCTTTTGAAGAAGTTATAATCCTTGGGTCCTGGACACACCTACCTCATTTAATCCTCACAATCCTTGCCTTTCCGATAAACTAGATACTATTTGACCCTATTTTACTAGTGCGGACAGTCAAAAAAGTGTTCAGCTTGTCCTGAGACACACGAATGCTCTTAACCAGAGGCAGAATTCCAATGGGAGCTCCTATCTGAGCAGATTCATTAAAAAGGCAGGTTCCCAGGCTGATGGGACTCAAGATTTGGAAGAAAACTTAGCAATTCACTGAGTTCAAGCCCTTTGTTTTCCGAGGAAAAGAAATTGAGGCCCAGTAAAGAAAAATATTTTTCCAAGGACACATCATGAGAGGTAAGCCTAAGTAATAATAGCAGTGATTTTATTGAACTGGCTTTGTGCATTATAGTCACTGTCTGCTATCCTCATAACAAATCCCAAAAGCCAATAGATGCTCCAACCTTTGTCTTACAGGTGAGGGTACTGGGTCATTGGGGCTGAGACAACATAATTAGTTGCATCTGCTTGGAGTCCTGGTTTGGAGTCATTTTCTTTCTTCCACACAATATTTCCAACAAATATTCAAAGATCTAACAATGAACTCTGAGAAGATAGGAGGTACTGGGATTTGATTACTTAGCACCTGTGTGACTCCTGGTGTACAATAGGAGTAATAATAATATTAAGACCTCTCCATCTTTCCAGAGTATTGTGAAAAGCAAATGAAGTAATAAATATGGAAATACTTTGTAAAGTGTTAGATGTTGAATACATGTAAGATGATTTCCGGATCTTAGTGTACCCTAGGAATAGAATAAATGAAATATACTGGTTGCTCCATGAACTGTGGCAGGAGGTCTCATCTTAGCTAGAACTGAATTAATGTTGGTTTGCTGCCTGATCTTTATGGATATCTCTGTTTCTAGGCTTTTTGTATTTGATTTTTGGTTTATTTCCTCTTATTATCATACTATCACTAGTAGTAATAGCAACAATAATAGCATAGTGGCTGGAGAGCCAGCACCTGTCTTGGACCATGAGAGGACCTCAAGAACGAAAGCCACACACAGAAAAACAACAAAATAAAAGGATTTGGGTTCCTAACATCATGAAAATCAGACCAACCCACAGCCCACTTCCATATGAAAGAAATAATATGCTGTCTAGTACAAGAAACTTTTATTTTGTGTTTTTTGTCACATGAGGCTCAACCTAATTATAACTGATACATATACCTTACCTCATGAAAATCCTACAGCAACTCTGTAAGGTAATAGATGCAGGAACAGGCCCAGAGAGTATAAATAACTGGTTCAAGGTCATTTGGCCAAATGACAGAGGTGAGATTCTGAGGTCAATTCACATTCTCTTTTTCGGTTAAGACCCACTGCCTATTACGAATGAACCAATCTATTTTTTTTTTTTTCCATTTACTTCCATTTCATTTATTTATTCTAGGGCTGGCAAACTTTTTCTATAAAAGACTAAATAGTATTTTAGATTTTGTGGATCATACAGTTTCTGTTGCAACTTTTTAACTCAGCTTTTGTAGTGCAAAAGCAGCCATAGATAAGAGGAAGTAAGTAGGCATGACTATGTTTCAATAAAACTTTCTTTACAAAAAGATGCAAGAGACCAATGTGGCCCATGGACCTTAGCTTGCCTACCCTTGATTTATACAATTCTAATGTTCCATTACAAAAGTGCATTGGGAATACACTATAGAAGACAGGGGATTGTGACATTGCAGGCATGCTCATATTGTTGACCAGTATAAAGGCCAGTGCATGACAGTGCAGTCCAAGAAAAAGATCCTTAAATTGATAACCATGAGATCTGGGCAGTGCATTCATATCTGAACTGAAACCAGATCTATATCTTGGACTACCCCCAATTGCCTCACTTTTGTTCCTTAGGAACAAATAACAAAGCAAATGTTATCCGTACTTTCCCATTTTCCATGGCTGCAGGGTGACTGAGATGAGATGATATATGTAATCATATTTTGAAAACTATAAATATTATCTAACTGCCATTTATATTAGGCAAGACTTTATAGCCTCCACTATACCCTTCAGTTCTCTGTGCTTACCTCTATCATGGAACTCAGAATGCATCACATGCCTAGTAATTATTGGTGTATTGTTTTATCCTCCTTCCCACTCTACAAAAACAGTTATTATGTTGTACTGGATTGGAAAACTTGATTATTGAAAAGTCTAGCCATTCACTCAGGGTTATTGCCAGACAGCATGGGGATCATGCAGAGTTATTGTCCACTAGGCGCATCACAAGTCACACTAGTGAAACAGCACATCAGATTTAAGCAAGACAGAAAGAGCTGAGTTGTGAAGCCCTGGAACCAGCTGAACTGGAGTTTGTGTAATTTTCTTCCTGTTTAGAGATGGTTACGTGCAACACCAGGAGGTGAACAGGGGACCTGATGGTCTCTCCAATGACCCATGGAGACCCTGTAATTCTCTAACTACATTCTTCAAAGGCTTTTTCTACTTTAGCAACCCTCCTTGTCACCAGAGAAAATACATATTTTCCCTGAGATTCTTGGAGTCATGACACAGAAATAGGTCATAGTTATTCATTTATTTAAGAATTTATTTATCGATTTCTACATTTATGTATTTATAAATTAAAGACTTATTGAGTGACTACTGTTCTAGACACTAAAGAGATGGTGTCGAGAAAAACAGATATTGACCCTGTCCTCATGAAACAGTCATGAAAATAAATAATTCAATGTCTGTTTATATATCATTGATATATAATTGATTCAATTGCACACAGATATATAATTGATTCGATTGCAAGCAGGAAGGGCAATAGGATACTGCAAGAGAGGGAACATGATTTAGATTGAGATCTAACTTACATTGGTGATTTTGAGGAAACAGGTATTATAAATACATTGTCTCAGGTCTTCAACAACCCTGTGAAGTGGGTATTATCATAAACATTATACAGATAGGGAAACTGAGGCTTAGGGAGATTAGGTGTCTGGCCTAAGGATGTACTGTCAGTAAATTTGGAGCATACTGTGCTCTCTCCAATACTCCACACTGCACATAGTATGCCTCCTATCTAGAAAGCCACTCCTTCCATTTTTCTCTATTTGGATTCATATTCTGCCATCAGCATCTAGTTGAGAGCCTACTTTCTCTGCAAAGTTCCCCCTTCTATCTAAGGCCTCAATGCATCTCTTTCCTTCTAGAATCCTGCAACAGTCATTCTCTACTACTCATGTGGTGCCGAACCTAGGACATACTTGCCTTGATGCCCTTGCTCATAGTCCTGTGAGCAGCACAAGGCCATTAGAGCCAGACAGACCTGGGTTCTTCTCCCAGTTCTACTTGTTTGCTGGGTGACCTGGAGAAAGTTTCGTAACCTCTTTGCACTTTAGTTTCCTTTGAGAATAATAATATTTATTTTTTGAGGTATATCTTAAAGCATTTGTCCCAGTGCTGAACAGATAATAAGGGCTCCATACTTCATATTCTTCTTCCCAATTCCAATCCCAAAATTGGAAGCCTCTGGAGGGCAAGGAACATGCCTCTACTTTATAATCTCAGCAACTAGCACAGTACTCTATAATAGCGGGTATATAATTGGTATGTAATTATTGCAGTGGCAGCCCTTACTTGCCTACTGGGTCCTTCACTGCTTATCAAACTTGTTTTTTCCTGTTATGCTTCCTTTGTTTCTTTTTCAACTTAAGACTTCTTTAAGCCTCCCTTTAATTTGATCCTCTGGCAGGAACAGGTGCTACTGCATGTACACTCTAAGTCTTCCAAATCCACACTGTCATCTCAGGAGGAAAATAACTGAAATAGTTCACTGGAGACCCAACAGATGGTCAGTAAGGAGAAACCACTGACTAAAAGAGCCTGCTGAGCTTCCCACCCTGTTCACTACCTAGAGCCATATTTTATATACAAATCATTAGTTTGTTCAACTCACATCTCTAATGATGCCAATAGCTCATTTCCAAGGATGGGAAAATGTTCCAACTTTATTATTTACATGTTTCTTACTACTTGCCCTTTGTCTGCCTGTCTGCCTTCCTTCATCTCTTCATTCACCAAACATCTACTGAATACTGAATACACACATAACATGCATATATCTTCAAAAAGAACAACTCTACTTTCTCAATTTTACATGACAAATTCTATTAATTTTTTTTTTATTTGACAAATGTTCCACTACAGAGAGAGAATTAACTTGCTGTTTTTGAGGATTTATTTTTAATTTATTTATCAATCAAATATTTGATGACAATATGTAGAAATAAAATGATATTGAGAAGAGGGGTACACTTAGATGTGATAGTGACAGGTCTTTCTTTGACATGAGTCTTGAAATTAGTTTTGTTTTTAGTTTATATCATGGTGGAAATCTGTGATTTTAATACTGCTACATAACATATGGAACCAGGACTCCTGGTTTATTGTTTATACACTTTCAGAACTTATAAATACTTGTCTCTGCCCCATCTTCTTT